TTAAATTTCGTCGTTCTCGTAAACGTTTAACGACAGTGGCTGCTTTACGGCAACATGGCTGCTGCCGCAGTCTGTTTCCCTATATCCTACAGGTAGCCACACAGGTACGTAGACGTTGCAGCCGATATCTTCATAAAACCTAAAGGCTAATCGGTGAGCCTTTAGCCGAGTTTTCAAGAACGTATCGCCACTGTATACGTTACCGAGGAATTTAAATGTATTTAAAAATTCCTGAATAAACCTAACCTTACCACACGTGTATCTAAGAATTATAAAATTTTCCACTATCAAAGTGACGTCACGCCAATTAAACAAACGGCTCGCACGTTACTACGTAATTACAAGTTTTCATAGCAGCGACAAAATTTTAACCTGTCACCGTCTAAACCTAAAGTCGTCCCTAAACATACTCTCGATGGATACTCGGTTTAACGTGAAATAATTTTAATCTCAGGTTAGGTTACAACGGCGTGATAACCTAATTGAGGGGCGGAGCCACGAGCGCATCGCGCGGAATATTAACGCAACTTTGAATTCCCTAGGATCGTCACGCCGAGTTTAATCGAGTTACCGAGACTCGCCGGATCCAAAAGGGGTTGAAGGTTGCGGGGGGGGGGTGATAAACTGGGCTGTCAGGTGCTCTTATCCAAATGCATCATCATCCCTCCCTGATTTGACACTCCGAATCACGTGGAAGTAAACTAAACCCGTCTCTCTCGCTCTCACTTAAAATCAGCAACAACCCTTCTCGCACTACCCTTACGCAGGGTTCACCCTCAGGACCCAGCCAGCCCTGGGCTATTGAAATTCTACGGATCCAATGGCAACCTGGTCTTCGAGGGTCTAGCTTCGATTTTCGATACGTAACGCATTTATGGCCCATAATGCATTGCTATGGAAATCGCATCGTCTGTATCCGCCCTTAACCCCTTTCCTCGTGTCGGGTGGTTGTTAAGTGGACAGTCGGTCGGGGCAGCCAGATAGTCAAATAGCCGAGTGGGCTCGATCTGGCCAATTTGACTATAGGCCTAACGACTATGGGCCTAAATTAGGCTCTTTCGGCAATATCCCGATGCACTCAGCGACGTGCATAAATCAGGCTGGTTTACCTGCGCTATTACGCACCCTCACAACTTAATACGCCTCGTTCAGCCATTCTGCACCTTTACGCGGCTCACGGGATTATTTCGCCGAGGTATATTTAACTGGTACGAATTTACGAAGGGGTTGACGCTTAGTCTCCCTTGTTGCATCTATTATGCAGGTGCATTGACGTGCATCCAATTTATCTCCTGGGATGCTGTGTGTATACGGTTGCGTCATCTGCTTTTATGTCTTTTCCTCGTTCTCTCTCCCCCCCCCCACCCTTGCTGCACAGTTGCATTATACGGTGCAGGGTATGCAGCCCGGAGGGAAGAGCTTGTTTTTTGTTTTTTTTTTTCGATTTCTTCTATTGCACCCCACTGCGCTTCTACTCTCAACCATTGCTGATCTTTTATAGCTCTCTTTAAGTAATGCACTCGCGAGTCCACCTGCTTCTTCGTTTTGATTTTATTTTTTTTTTTTAAATTTTTTTTACTCTTCCTTGCATTTCCGGTGTGTTCCGCGAAGCCACGCCTCTTGCGTTTGGTGCGAGCGAGGGGAGGGGCAGGGGGGGGGGGGGGAAATGCC